CTCCAATCTCGTAAAACCACAGCCAGGCAGGACAGTCTCATTCAGAAAGCGTCCAGAGATGATCCCTTAATAAGTTCAAGGGCGATTAGAAATGAAATTTCATTAAGCCAAGGAGTAAATGTGTCTTCCAGGACAATAAGGAGACGTTATTATGATCAAGCCTCTGATTTTTTGAAAAAATGTGCTTTTGTCAACTTGGATCAGACGGAAAAAAGTATGTTTGGCGTCCTCCGAACATGCAACACCATCCACGATACACCATAAAAGACGGTCAAACATGGTGGAGGAAATGTAATGTTGTGGGCAGCATTTTCTTGGCATGGTGTGGGTGAAGCACACAAGATGGATCAACGGATGGATCAACAAGTCTATAAAAAAATAATCTCTTATGTTATGCTCCTCTATGCGGATGAAAATTACCGGTACACTGGCGTTTTAAGCACGATAACGATCCTAAGCACACTTCACGACTAGTGAAGAATTGCCTTTAGGATAGCAATATTGACGTTATGAAGGGGCCAGCTCAGTCCCCCGATCTCAATCCTATTGGGAATTTTCGGGTGGATGTTCAGAAGCAGATTAGACGTGTAACAGCCAGCAATTTAAATGAACTATAGAGCACAATAAAAAATTCCTGGTCTGCCATACCGCAGAAGGGATGCGCAGCTTTGGTGGAGAGTTTGCCACATAGACTTCATAAAGGATATCCAACATAATATTAAAAGTTAATATCGTGTCCAGCCAATTTTGGAGGTGTCTGGATAAAAACGAATGGCAAAGAAAGAAGACAAAAGCTAGAGAGGCGAAAATACTACTACTTAGTAACCTACTCGCACAATAAAATATTACTGATCTAATTATTTTAACTGAAGAAATAAGAAAAGAAAATCGACCGTGCATAGTGTGCTAAATTGGTGTCTACCACTGTATATTACAAGTCTACAAATTACGAATTTCGAATGTGCCATTGCCTCGTTTTCATTTTCGTTTTCTTAATATTTTTAAATTATTTGCCTTGCCAATTTGTATTTCTAAACAATTTGACCGTCCCAGGAAAAATGTTGATCAATTTTAGTCATTTTTATTGGTATTTACAATTACAAAAATTCCCAATGTTTATCGATGTGGCAACAAATTTCGAGAAATCTCCCTAGCTAAGTAAGGTGTATCTGATAGTCGAGGAAACCGCCTATAACGTTCTCTCTTGTTTCTTGTTTGAATTTCAGACACGATGGTCAATAAATTGTAATCAAACAAGTTATGAAAGCAAAATTATATTATACTTGGAAGCCATTTCTCTGGTGAGATTAAGTTAAAGCTCTGTGTTTGATTAAAATCAAGGTTAGCTAACTCATTTTGTTGTAATCCTACATTAAAATAAACATAAATTAAAATATCCACTCACCTGCACCACACCCGGCAGGCCGCTTTTAACTGCCGCTCCGGTCCGGATGCTTCCCACGGTAATGCTGTTAGAGATCTGCTGGCGGCGACCATGAAGGGATTGCAACGCTAGCCGTCGCTCGTTAAGCTCCTGGTTAACAGTGTTGGCCTCTTCCCCAGTGCTGTAGAGCATGCGCTGGCCCACCGTGTAGCCGAAGTGGTGGTGGGCCTCCTTCAGATCCTCCAGAGGCTGTGCGCGGCACTCTAGACCTAGACGAAAGATCTCGTCGGCCTTGCGCATGTTGCCGCTCAGGTCGTAGCTGTAGGCCCAGGCAATATAGAAATCTGCTAGCATTGTTCCGATCCCGTTGTTGTACATCTGTTGATAAAACTCGATCTGGTCCTTCTGTTTCTCCATCTAAAAAGTGATGTATAATCAGGGTGATCATTTAAAAAAAAGCATCGGACACCCACGAATTTAATGAAAAGCCTAATTAGCCGCTTGTCCTGACGGTAGCGCTCGTCGTCTTCAAATTTGGTGAGGCACTGGTGAAGGACAGTCTGTAGACCAGAGCCACTGCCCCCCGCCGGATAGCTCTGCTCGATCCAGCAGATGAACGTGTACCAGGCACCGAGAGGATCTGTGCCTGTGTAGGTGTGGACCTCCTCCTCCATTTGCTTGCGTTGTGCCTGCAATTCCTGGCCGTGGGTGGACTCCTGGCTGAGAGAGGCCTGCAGAAGGCTCACGTTGCGACCGCTGGCTAGCGGCTGAATGTTTTCTTTCGCGTTGTCAAAGTCCATAGCGGCCTCCTTAAGTAAACGACCTAAAAACTTTCGTTGTCTTATTTCGGTAAAACAAAAACTACGCGCCGAAGCAAATGCTAGAGATGAAAGATATTGTATACTCATACGGTATGTGTAACTTCGTCTTATCGATACTGCGATTAAGACCCTGTTCACACTGAAGCCGCAATATATTACGTTAAAAATTTAATTATTGAACAGGTCTACATCACCACTTACTTATAAGCTAGTACCGATAGTTCCACCAATAAGTTCAGTAAAAAAAATAAAACGCGAGCTCAGTTACCACAATTACTATAACATTCCTGCTGTTTCAAAATGTACACTTTTTCAAAATCATTTTGACCAAATATTATTTAATAAGTTTTCAATATTGCCTTAAAAATGAATATATTTGAAAATCATCGCCAGTATTGTACAAAACGTACACTAAGGCTTAAATGTAGCTTTTTGAAAATTAATATGATAACTATATTTTCATTATAAGTGCACATACGAAAACGAACTCAGATTTCGTCATCAAATTCTAATATTCTCTAATATTCTTATTAAAGAAAAGTTGTGAACGATTCGAAAACTTTATATACCACACTTAATTTTATTCATTTTCCTTTGGGCATATTTTTGTCTGCACCGAATATTTATTATTAGTAATAATATAAAATTTATAAAAATATATTTTCACGTTTTGAAAACGTTCCTTAAAATAATTATTAAAATGGGACGTGAAAAGTGACATGTTCAAAAAATGAATTTCTGACACATATAGCCAAGCGCATTAAGCTCACCAAGGAACATTGACAAGATTAGCCACGCGAAAAATGGAGGAACATTTTATTGTCAGATGGGAGCAAGGTAGTTATTTTTGGTGGCAAAGCATCTCGATCGTATGTAAGGCGCCCAAAGAACACCGAATATAATCCAAAGTACACAGTAAAAACAATTAAACCGGAGTATCCAGTGGAATGGTATTTGCTTGTTGGGGTTGGGCCAATACATTGGATAAAAACGATCATGAATCAACATGTGGATATTTTAAAGGCGGTGATGATACCGAGCGCCTCTTGTGCAGTCAACAGCTGAGAAAAAGAAAGACTTAAGACTTAAAAGAAAGACTCGAAGCACTGGGAGCACTGGAAGCGTTGCATATAAATAACACTGCTCAGCTGAGGCACATAAAAGAGGTACATTGACAAGGGTCAACAGCATACCCTGCTACGCTCTTTGGCATTGCTCTGATTCTCATGCTAGTACTGGACACCTGTGGCCAATGGCAGAGGCACACCTAGCTGCTAGGACCTACCCGAAAATGGACACAAAAGTCACCTCGATCCTCGCACCGCCAATCTCCGAGCAATTCATTGAGACACGAACTCCAGCTGCCGCAGTTCAACAACATTCCTTATTTCTACCGCTTAATGGCAGGCATAAATTAGAGGGGGAAATGTTAAAAACAATAATACTAATGATAAGAACTAGAATAATATGTTAGAACTAATAATGTTATGAACCAGAATAATGAACCCCAATACGCAAGCTCCAACATGCACGTTCAGCGCCTAAATACTCTAAGAATCTGCTTAGCAATTAGCGATTGCTTTCGCAATAACATCATAGCATAAGCAGCGCAGCCGGCGTCAATCTTCTGCCACCAAGGGCAGCGCAGCCGGCAACTAAAGACTCACAGCAAAGACTTCTGCGTATGAAGTTTTTTAACTATTTATACAAACTAGTAGTATAAAAGTAAAAAAAATATGTTTATTTATATTATCATGTAAATGGCCGATTTTTAGTATTTGAAATGAAAATATTATTTAGTTGAATGTTTTTGTTATATTCTAATTTGATAATTTTAAAAACCGCGCCATTTTGGGAAGTTAGGAAAGCGCGCCAAAATATTGTTTCTTCTTTTAGTTCCTCTTAATCCGTTTGCTAAAAGCTGACTAATTCATAGAGCTATTCGTTTGCTACTATTTTTCCAAATTTTAATAATATATCGGCATTTATTTTCAATAAAAGTGGATTTTCTGATTAAGTAAAGCACAATACTATAAGTACGATAAATAAGTGTGCTAAGTAGTGCAAAATAAAGGAAATTTTAGAGCACTTTTGCGCACTTATATAACGAATATAAGTGCACCCGAAGAGCACCAGCAGGAAAGCTGCTTGGTTGGAAGGTTGGTTCCAAAATAAATCTATTCCTGTTTTGGAGTGGCCTGTACAGTCGCCACACCTTAATCCCATCGAAAAACTTTGGATATTCGGATATTAAGAAGGAAGTTGTTGCTTCTAAGCCAACTTATAACGTAAACCTTTTAGCTGTAATTAAGGAGTCCTGGAGCAAAATATCCCCTAAAAGGTACCAGGACCTGGTTGACTACATACCAAAATGTTGCGCAGCTCTTATTGCGAATAAGGGAGACACTACAAAAAATTAAATTAGTGAGATAGGCGTAGTTTTAATACGCAAACATTTGTTAGCGGCGGTGTAGTGGTGCTATTATTATTTTTCGCCTAATTTTGTCATTCTTAATAAAGTTAAAAATTCTAATAGAATATGGACAACCACTATTACCTATGTATTGCAATTTATATTTTACATTTTTATTAATATAACAAAATAAATAATAAGCGGAAATCAAGAAAATGTAGTCTTAATCTAAAGAAAACGGAGTTTTCGTCGTACTTCATTCAAACCTAATTGCAGCTCTGCAATACGCGAGGGCACGAATGCAGCATTTTCTATAAATTTAAATTAACTTCTTGAAAATTTCATGGATTTCGTACATAGCGACGAAAAATAACTATGTATGTTTTTAGTGTTAAAATATTTTATAGAGTATAGGAATTACATTAGTCTACGTATTAGATAATATTTGTATACATACATATATTAATATTGGTCTTTGGCATTACCTAATAGCATTTTTCATTATTATTTTTGCGTTGGAAGAACGACAATACGGAGAGAAGGAACTTGTAAGCCATCTATGTCATTCTTAGCCATTAACTCAGACATCGATTCGGATCGCAAAAGCGTTTTTAATGCCTAGGAACCAACGACCCGTAAAACAAACACCTCAATGTGTCTTTTATTTGTATACTTAATTCAGCATATCCAAAGACAAATAGTAACGTTTTAATAATGGGTAAACTCATTTTTCTTGTGTATGAAAAAACCAATACAGCTTTTGAAATATCCGTTAAAAGTGTCCCCAGCGTCCGCTTTGATCGCAATTTCCAGGTCCGCCGCCTGATCCTCTATTGCTTCCATAAGAGTCTCCGAATCCACCACCGTTGTTTCCATACCCTCGATTGTTTCCATATCCTCCTCTATTGTTCCCATATCCTCCGGCATTGTTTCCATATCCGCCACCATTATTTCCATATGCTCCTCCATTATTTCCATATGCTCCTCCATTATTTCCATATCCTCCTTCATTATTTCCATATCCTCCTTCATTATTTCCATATCCCCCTCCATTATTTCCGTTGCTGCTGTTTCCACGGCGGCCATAGCTGCCGAAGCCTCTGTTACTGTAGCGTCCTGTACCACCTCCGGCGCCGTCAAAGCGCCCTCGTTTGGCCGGTCCTCCGCCGGCGCTGAAGTCGCGTGATTGATGCGGCAGAATTCCCGAGTCACGCTGCAGTCCATAGTCTCCAGCGCTCTTAACGCAAAGGTCTTTGACAACATCGACCAGCTTTGCATAGGGCTCCTCCAGGTGAAGTATGTCTGAAGGATTGTCGCACGCCACCGTGATAAGATCCTCCAGGGCAGGCTTAAGGGCACCAACTTTGGCCGCAAGTTCCGGATCCATTTCAAAGTTAACCCAGTTGTCAACGCGAACGATATTGTTGGCGGCAAAGTCAATCTTGCGCGATCCAAATAGTATCACCTGCAAAGGCGAGACCATAGATAGTTGCTTGCAGGAAACAGCTCGCGTGCGGATCTTCTCGCCGAAAACGAAGAACGGATATGGAAATGTGACTGCCAAGTTGCTGCAGTTCACCGATGTTTTGTGCAGTAGCGCTGCTTTAGACTCTGTAGTCAGCACTTTACGCTTCTCCTTGTGCACGCATATGTTGGGGTAGAGACCCAAGCACAGCAGAGCCAGTGACACGTCCAGTAGTGGGTCATCGCCATTATTCTTTTCATCCACCTCGTGCGGTATCATACACTCTTCTGGAAATCCAGCCTGCTGAAGAAGATCCAGCAACTGCTGCTTGGCATCCCAGATTACGTTCATGGTACTCATTTGCAATCCTTTCCAGTCACAGAACCGAGCTTCCATCTGCTCACCGCGTTGTTTCTCGCGCCGCCACATTTGTGAGGCTACGATCATTGCCACGTGGTCGGAACATTTACTACCACTCAACGCTTTCTGATGATTTGCCAAGCGACGTTGGCCAATATCAAGACTAAACACCTCTGAGAAGGTGCTAGAATACGAAGCCATAATGGCCATCAGGTCGGCACAGCCAAATACTGCTCCGAGGACCATCATCTTTCCAAGCCTTGGTTCAATTGGGAGGCGTGCCAGCAGGCGGCCCAGTGGTGTAAGTTCATCGTTAGCGTCAAGGCAGCGCATCTCTCGAAGCAACACCTCAGCTTCGATTACCGCGTCTACCGGAGGTGGCTCCAATGCCTTTGACAGAAAGTGGTGAATGGAGCCCAGCCTGAGCAATTTAATGGTCAACGCCATCTCGTGCAACGGCGTACGAAACATCTCAGGCGTAAGAGTGTCCTCGAGCGCTTCGAAGCGGGCGCGCGAACAGAGGGTGAAGCAGAAGCCCGGTCGGACACGCCCAGCTCGGCCCTTGCGCTGCTCTAAATTGGTTTTGCTCGCCCAAACGGTGGCGTAGCTGGTTAGGTTGTTATGTGAAGTGAAGAGCTTCATGCGCGCCTTGCATATATCAATTACAAAAACAATGTCGTCAATCGTTATAGAAGTCTCTGCAATGTTGGTAGAAAGTATAATCTTGGTGATGCCTTCTGGAACAGGCTCGAATACTTTGCGTTGGTCGTCTCGAGGAATCTGCGAGTGGCATGGCAAAATTCGGTATTGGGATGTATCACCGAAAGTGTTTGTATTTTGCAGAAACTTCATCAGCGCAAAGATCAGGTTCCAGCCGGGCAGAAATACTAATATGGCTCCGGGAATGTTTTTTGACTTAATGTGCAGCAGTAATGCCTCCAGCAGCTCGAAGCTTACGTCCGATTCGGATAGCATGGCCATAGCATTGCGAGTCTTCTGTGAATACTTGTCCTCGCAAATCTTGTTAAAGTTGGTATCCGCCTCTTCCTTGTCCTCGGAAAGCAGCAATTGCTCCTCTTCCTCTACCTCCTTGCGCTTTCGTCGCAACTCCACCGAAGGCACAAAGTCTGTCATCTGAAGAATGTCCTCCAAGAAAAATTGCTGCACGGGAAACGCTCTTCCGGGTACTTCCAATACGGGACAGCCGCCAAAATACTTGGAAAAAAGCGTTGTATCAATAGTGGCCGACATAAGAATAACTGCAATAGAAAAAAAATGTATATTACTCATAGGTCTTTCTGAAAGATACATCAAACAAAATAAAAGGGTTGGAAATGTATTATCCGTATTTCTTATTGGATAAAGGATCTATTAGGCGACTCCAAATGAAATATGAGAAACGGGCTATTTTCTCGACTATTAGCTACTCGGCGTTCGAAGCCCTATAAAATTAGCAAGACCAAAATAATACGTAAAAACTAAAAACATTTTTAAAAATGTGGGCATGACAAATTTGGGCGGGATAATTTTCTGAAATAAGCCTGCATATGAGAGACAAAGGCGCAGCACAATTTAGTTGACCCATAGTTTTGGAAATTTGTTGAAATTTATTATTTTATTATTAGTTTTTTAAATTTTTATCGATTTGCCAAAAATTTTATACACGCCCACTAATTTTAAAAATTAAACAAATTTTTTTAATTTAATTCTTCATTTTACCTACTTTTATCAGTAGCCAGAAAAAATGTGAAAATTTCTCGTTCCCACTGAGTAATGGGTATCTGATGATAACTCGACTATAACATTCTCTGTTTTTTTATTGGTCCCGAGATCAGCTTTCAAACGAACAAACTGACGGACAGATCCACTCTAGGTGGAACGGATGTAAAAAGTATATTCGTAATAAAACCAGCAAAAGTACGGATTTTTCGCGTCTCAATATATGTTAAAAATATCCCTATTTAGACCACATTGCAGGTTCTATTTGTGGTGCTGACCAGTGATAAATATAAGAGTCCTAAGAGTTTCACACCAAGAAATTGTATTATAGAATATATATTAGATAAATTGCACTACATTTGAGCTTACCATGCAATTCTGGATATGTGTCAACCATGTCGCGAAGGATGACCAGCAAAAAGTCGCTGTTCACGTCTCTCTCGTGGATTTCGTCCACAATAATATGCGATACTCCTCGTAAGCCAGCCTCCAGCTTGCGCAGCAACACGCCGACGGTGCAGAAGAGGATTGCGCCGTAGGGACGTGGAAACACAGACTCAAATCGCACCGAGTACCCTACAGTCTCGCCCAAATTTTCGCACCGCTCGCGAGCTACGCGCTCGGCAACAGAAATGGCTGAAATGCGACGAGGCTGGGTCACATAAATATTAGCGTACCCGCCCTGGCCGGAGCAGATGTAGTCATCAAGAATGTATTGGGCTATTTGGGTAGTCTTTCCGCACCCTGTGTTTCCACGAATGATTACCACTGGATTGTCATTAATTGCGCTTAAAATTTCAGATCGCATCGCTGCAATGGGCAGCTTATCGCGAAACTCGAGGAATTGTCGGTACTCGTTGTCGTTCTGGCGGCGCTCACGCAGCGATCGTTCGTAGTCCATCGAAATGTCATCAATAGACACGGTTGCCAGTTCGCCTTCGTCGATGTTGCAGGCATGCCAAGTATTCCAGTTTGCCTGGGGAGGAGCCCACGGAATTACTGAGCTTTCCTGACGCTTTTCCCCATCCCGTTGCGTGGACTCTATGCGGCTTACGTTAACCTGGAAGAAAAATCTGCTATTAGTCAGAAGAACTTTATATTCAGGGCTCCATTTTAATTTCAATTCATTTCAAACCCTTTTTGAGATATAATTCATTTAATCTGTGTAGAGCAACACAACAGGTTCATTTGAAAGCAATAAATATAATTATATACCCTTATAAATACAATAAATAAAAATGTGAACTTCTTTAAAATTAATGTAAGAGATAAAGCGAATATTTTTATTCACGATAAATTACCGAGTCGATTCATGTCCCTCTGTTCGTCCGTCTGAACGTCGAGATCTCGGAAACTATAAAAGCTAATAAGTTGAGATTAGACATGCAGACTCTAGTGACGCTGCGCAAGTTTGTTTCAGAACGTTGGCATGCCCACAAACAGCACAAAGCTGCCGCCTACACTTTTAAAAATCGTTTTGATATTTTAGACTTTTGACATTTTTTTTTTTTTTTGCTATTTTTTAATGATTTGAAAAAAAAATTTTAATTTCTTTCTAAAATTTCCACTAGCTTGGTAACGGGTTTCTGAGAATCTCGACTATAGCGTTCTCTCCTGTTTTATTCCTAATGAGTGACCTAATTCCAGAGAACTGGACGCTAACATGGCATACACATATATATATACTTTAAATGGTATTGTACAAATCTACGAATCTAGTTTACTCAAGGACATTGCTCAAGAACATCAGCTATACAAAAGCGTTACGAACATTCAATCTATAGCTAATAGTCGCTTCATGTTCTTAAAATCTGATCAGTTTCTCTAATAATTTGAGATAAGAAATTTAATTCGAGTTGCTGATGCATTTTTATTTTAGTACCTAGTTTTGTATCACTTACAATTAGAGGAATTGGAGCGCCGTCCGGTTCGATTTTGATATTGCGCGGGTTTACAACAGGAAGGTCCAAAACCTGAATAACCTTATCAATTTTGTTAATCAGATTTGGAGAAATCTTCACCGGATATGGCTTCAGCTCTACATCCTTCTTTTTTTTTAGGGTTCCACTAAAAGCCTCTATCACCTTTAAATGGAAAAGTTGGCGAACCAGTGACAGGGCGCATGACTTGCTGGCAGACTTCTTGTTTGAGCCCGTTTCGCGGGCCGTCACCTTGCGCCTGAGCGCTGGCACATAAATGGACAACTCTGCCATAAAGCTCCTAAATAGACAAAACATTTTTAAAAAAATCTGGGCCGGTAATTAGGTAAAAATCCGGAACTTACCCTCGGGCTATATTTGGAATCTCCCATTGTGGGAGTCTGTGGTGGACTGCTGCAGGCGCCAGCCGACAGAACGGTGTGGTACTAATGTGTTAGACAAAGCTGGAAAGCCAGCGCTTGAATTATTGCCACCTAAGCCGCGTTGCACAGGCGTCCGTTTTGCTTACAGACCCCATGCAAGGAAGCTGGATGTGGTTCTTGTAGTTCGGAATATCGTACCACGTCGCTCTGCTGACTCTGCACGAATTGGTCACAGCCCACAAAAGCCCGCATTTCAGAGTTGGCCATAGAACAAATTCGGCCAAATCCGAAATGCAGACGGAAGAAAGTTGAAAAGGAAGCACATACCTAGCGTGATCCGGGCCCACTGGTGTATATTTGTAATCGTCGCGAACGTTGTTCGCCTGCTTGTACATATTCAGTCGATCTTTGGCATTCTCTATGGTCCAGTTACCGTGGATGGCGGCGTTGACATCGAAAGACTCAGCTTCGTTCATGTCTCTCTGCTCCTGGATGTGATCAATTACAGAGTAGCGGTTGCAGTCGCCGCCGCCCTCGTGGTTTAGTGGGCGATAGGCCTCACCCAGATCCTGTGGACCCGACTGACCATCAAACACGCGTTTCTGCTGTCCACCGCCCTCTGCCGCGCCCACACCATCCAGACCAATCCTAGGTCCGGCCCCGGAAGCCACAGCATCCGCAGGAACATCTTTTGCATTCAGTTTCCCCACGCGCACTAGGTAGTTGACAAAATCACGACACGCGTTTTTCTCGGCATCCTTCTTGTTGGTAGAATTACCCACACCAATATATATGTTAGGGTCTACACGCACCTCACACAGGAATCGCTGACGGTTTTTGGGACCTATAAATTGAGCAGCTATTTGAAAAACGCGGCTGAGGAGGAATGGTTTATCACTCACCAGTTTGGCGAATATCAAACTTTGGTTCTATACGCGACTTCGCACAAAATTCGTACAAAAACGATTTTATATCCATTTTTGACTTTTGAATAAACTGAAATCAATTATAGTGCTCAAATTAAAATTTCTGATTTCGATTATTTTTCTTGTTGATAAACACCCGAATGCGCATGAATCGTAAATCAAAATAGAAACGATTTGTTGCTTACGAAAACGGAACTGTTGAAATGGAACAGTGAGAGTACCTGTAATATACCGGTTACTCGTAGAGTAAAATAGACACTAGGATAGAATGTTATTCTAATGTTTTTGGTAAAACATTATGCTATTATATAAAATATGTAACAGGCAGAAGGAAACGTTTCTGACCATGTAAATTATATATGTATATTCTTGATCAGTATAAATAGCCATCCGTCTGTTCGTCCGTATGAAAGTCGAATTCTCAGGAAATGTATAAGTTAGAAAATTGAGATTGAGCATGCAGATTCCAGACACATACCCACAGCGCACGACTGTTATTGATGTTGGCACAACCACTCTAGCGCCCACTGACCGCCAAAAACTGCCACGCCCACACTTTTGAAAAATTCTATCAATTTGGTAAACAACTTTTTGACTACCCCTTTCTAACGCCCACGGACGGCCAAAAACTGACACGCCCATTCTCCAATTTATTATTTTTTGTTCCAAAAAATATTTACTTTTCCAAAACATGCGTACATATCAACTGTTCCAATTCGACATTATAGACGTCACACCTAAATAAAAAACTTCTGCATTTTAAAGAAAAGTGCTATTGGTTGAAGTATTTTTCTTCTTACGCAAATATAGCATTTGGGCTAGCATATAATGGTAAATAATAAATAAATAATAATAATAAAATTATATGTAATGACGCATTTATCCCCTTCTTAATATATCCTCTTTTGTATCTGATTTTCGAACAAATTTTTCCAAGTTGTGGAAATTATAAAGTATTTTTGTAAAAACTCGACCCCGATTTTTTTACGTGTAATAAAAAGTATTCAGTATTAAAAGTTCAGTATTATAGTATATTTGCCCTAGTCTCGTGGTATTTTTCGCGTCCGCGTACTGGTCACACAGATTTTTGCAACGCGATGGGGAAAAGAGGACAATATTTGAGTTAAAAATGTGAATGCGAATGCCAGCCCAAATAAATAATAGTGCAATCGCGAGTCATCCATTTAATCGCCTAGTTTGAATTCTTTTTGCGGCCAAAACGACGGTATACTGCTGGATTCGTAGGCTGCCAGCAGCCCAGCATCACACACACACCCACACGAGCGAATGTAGATAAAAGTGAGAAAACACTCACGCACGCACACACACACAGGCACACGTTTGGTCGTGGGCAAGCATTTAATTTCGTTAGTGCCCAGTAAAACAGAGTTGAGCGAAAAGGCGATAGCAACTTGCACAAATTGTAAGCAGTGAAGAGAGTCAGCGAAGAGGGGATCGAGTGAGAGCGGCGTAGAGTGCCAACACCCAAGCGCTGATTTCGTAGCCACAAACAATAAACAAACAGTGAAAGTAACAGTAAACGCAAGCGTTGCAATTTGGCTTCCATTGATTGCATTTAGTACTCAGTCTCGGCGGTAGCACAACTACTCATCCAACAATGGGTAACTGCCTCACCACGCAGAAGGGCGAACCCGACAAGCCCGCAGATCGCATCAAGCTGGACGACCCGCCCACCATCGGAGTGGGCGTGGGCGTGCCTCAAATCCCCATGCCTTCACACGCCGGACAGCCGCCGGAGCAGATCCGTCCGGTTCCCCAGATCCCGGAGAGCGAAACGGCCGGCGCCAACGCGAAGATTTTTGTCGCCCTCTACGACTACGACGCCCGCACGGATGAGGATTTGAGCTTCCGGAAGGGAGAGCACTTGGAGATACTAAATGACACGCAGGTGAGTGTTGCTACGTTCACACGCACGCCTTATTCGGAAACAAAAATGTTGAGGTTTCCTTATTCGTAATAAAAAACTACAACTTTTTGGTAAATTCCATGCACCAAATGGTTTTGAAATTATGAAATACAAAATAATGAAACTTATTTCCTACCTATCGAAATTTCTATTAAAATTCAATGTTGAACAGATATAGAATGTTGTGACAGATCGGCAAGAATTTGTGCCTTGATCATGGAAAGAAAATTGCTTGTTTCAGTCCATGAGATATATGTACATATGTATAGTACATATATACCAATCCGATAATAAAGATCGTGAAATAGCTTACCTAAAAACTTCTAATTGAAACTGTTACTGTGTTTATACAATGATCTACTCATTGTTTCATGACAAGTACCAAAAGTACGAATTCTCTAACGCACGAGATTTGACTATGCAACTCTATGGAAACTGTGTATAATTTACTTTTTACTAACCATAAGGCATCCTAATTAGCCCAGCAAAACCATGAATTGGGGGTTTGTCGCATAAGAAGGTTATTATTTCTTTTCAGAAATCGTGACACCTTATAACATAAATGTAATATTTGATTCGGTGATTGAGGGTATACTGATTACATTTTTGTGACGTCAAAAATATGTATTGAAACGCTACGGGTATCTTGAGATGAAACTACAATATCGCATAAACAAAAATAAATAAATTTGCAAACATGTCGCAAACACCTACCGTTTAAACAGAATGTCAGTGAGTAATCCGATAGGTTAGCAATGTATGTGAGCATACACCATACAGTGCTGTGAGCAAAAGAATGCGGGAGAGAGTGCCTGATAATAAGTTCAAATCGTTTGATAACGGCGTTTGTGGGATTTTTTCTGCTTGCTGTATGATTGAAGGAACAACGTTTCGTTTCCAATCACTTTCAAATGATACAGACGAAAGCATCAACTCAAATCCTAGGGGGAAATTTGATAAAGCAATTCATAGCATTAACGACAAATTAAATAAGACAATGTTTGAAGCTTTAACTAGTCGAATTTTTACAATTTATTTGAACTGTTGCAAAAGCGCCCGCTACTCGGAGTATAAGATGGTATATGGTACCCGTGTAATAATTTGTAGTTAAAGGATGTGTTTTCCAGACCCTGGAATTCACAGAGGTGATCTAGATATCACAGGAGCTGCAAGTTTAGGCATGGATAATTTGATACATCAATCTTTTTTATTTATTTATTTTTACTTTTAAATAGACCTGAACTTTCATACTACTTGCAAAAGAACAACTTTGTATTATTACCATGATAAAGTAAGAAGATTATCAGATAACAATAAATTTGTCCAATCAGAACGAGTTATAGACCAATCAAAAGATATCGCTAGAACTGTATAGTATATTTTTTGGTCTTTTTTTTTTTAATCGGTTGACCCCTTATAGACCACACGATACTCGTACAGTAAAATAGAACACTGAATTCATAGAAAAGTATGAAATAGGTAGGTGGATGTATACAACATATTTTGATTCGTTAATAATAATCTATGAAAATTTCAAAAGAAATTTCCCTGGCACTCCCACTAGCTAACCGGTAACGTTCTTACTCCCTTTTATTTTCTAACTTGACCATCCTCAATAATATTACAGTTTTACATATTCTAAATATTTGTAAACCTTATTTATTTTAAAGAAATTTAAAATTTTTCGGTTTTTGGAATTCGAACACTGGAAGTAAATTAACTCTATGAATTTCCCCGCCCACGTTTACTTAGTTTCTATAACTTTTTAAAAATATAAATGATAGTCTATAAATAAAACATTTATTTATTTTGATATGACAAATCTTGACATTTATTAAGAATCTTGCACTCTTTTAATAATATGAAATGTAATTGAAATATATTGTAATACATTTAATCCAACTGCAACTCCTGTTGAATCCAAATGTTGAAGCAATTGGTAATGCTAGGAACTATTGGTCGAATTTTATAATTAGTATACGGAGGTCACCACCCACAGCAGCCACCGATTCTGGCTGCTTTGTGACCAAAGTGCTGCACGCAAATTTGTATTTAAAAGCTTTGTGTCAGCATAGCAGTGGCCCTCTCAGTAGCAAACGGCGCTGAAAGCATGACGTGTGCAATTGGCTGTTGGCCAAATCTTGCGCCCTCCCTACGGAGCGAAATCATATTCAGATTTTGAACGGCAAACGGACTTTTAAAATAACGGAGTATACAATTACGACAGATCATAAAGCTTTCCCCGATATCCCCGGCCAGTGGTAGACATATTACCCATGGTCAGTACTTGCTGAGAAGCAGTTGCGTGGCTGGCATTTCCGGTGCTGTAGCGTGTAAGAAAGGTGCGGTATATCCATTTGCCTACTCGTTTTAGTCTCTCGGTTATTACTTACTTGATCCGCAGTACAAGCATTAAAGTTTGTTTTTGTTTGAAAAATAATTAAAAATTTGTTTGTTAGATAGTGAGTTATTCATTTCGAGGTATTCATTTGGTTGAAAAATATTTTCCTGATTATCCATTTCCCCGCTTCACGAATAGGTGCCAATTATCCTGTTCTTTTATTGTTTGAATTTATTATGTCCACTATGTAAACACTACATTTTTTTTCTGTAAAAAAATTATTAATTATTATTACACTATTAGATACGTGTTACTCATCTAAACGTTGATAGGTATTGATCGATGTTTTAGACATTAGACAAAGGTTTGAAACATGTCAAAATCTAAATATGTAAAATATAAACATGTCAGAAGCGTACATTCAAACATAAGGAATGACTTGACAATCGGCAACAAGGATAACAAGCATGCAATTGGGAAACCGACTCATAGAAGGATGCATTAAGAATATTCAATCGAGTAAAGAACGGAACGGCAGCTAAAATAGCTCGCATATACATATAATAAAATCAGAGCAACAATAATGAAACAATGAACCCTAAAGTGCCTGGTTATTGACCTTTCCCTACACTAATCACGATTATAAACGCTGAGGGCCAAGTCTAATCATAGACCAGCACGCGAGGGTGTATGGGCTAATAGAGGGGATTTTATGTTTATCCTACAAATAACATTTGTTTAGACTCATTGACTTTACCAGATAAAGAGGAATGTATGTTCAACAAGCTGTTCGTTGCAGTGAACAGGAGTAAATATGTACAATCACCCAAAGTTAAGAGTGTTGCACGAATTCGGCATAAGATCTTTTCTGCTTCTTCAGTCCAACCTGTTACATACTTTTTGAATTAGT